GACGTGTAGAGTCGTGTATGTAATGGCTTTTAAAATGTGCTGTTCATAAAACAAAATACGCTGAGTCGTTAAATGAGTTTTTAAACCTACAGTCATAATGCTTGAATAACCACAATACATAATAATATATTATAATTATATGGAATTGAAATAATAATTATACACTCAATCGTTATTTGCAAAAATAGTTTCAGCATTTTATACTAACAGGTTTAACTTGATTTCGATGTTCACTATTTATTTTTTTATTTTATCGAACAAAAGTAGGGGTTGGTCGTTGACTTATAATAATTGAGATGGAATTGTACGTGTATTATATAATATAATATTTGAATAATTTAAATATACAATTGGCTTATAAACCTTACAGTTGTATATTGTCTCGATAATTTCTCAATATTAATTATAGTAAATTGATGAGATTCGTTTTGACCAGGAATTCGTTAAGTTGTGTGGTATACCGGGAACGAACTCAAAAACCTACTGCATAGGCCATACGCTATATTGCAGTTCAAGTATAGACGAGGTATCAGGTATGTGGTAAATGTTTAATAGAGATTTGAATTCATATTATAAAGTTTTGTTTTAGATTTTCCTACATTTTAGATACAATTAATGTACTAGTATAAGTTACTTAATACTAGGTGCATTTCCCTGGCACCCCCACTTCCGAATTTTGGATTCAAACCAAGGGCTTTCGTTTGTGCTACGTTTGTGCTGGATTGTGCTCGAATTTCATCGTTTGTGCTGCAACCCTTAAGGAGTTATAAGGGATAACGATTGGGGGTGCCAGCGAAACGACTGCACCCCCACCTCAGAATTTCGGATTCAAACCAAGGGCTATCGTTTGTGCTACGTTTGTGCTGGATTGTGCTCGAATTTCATCGTTTGTGCTGCAACCCTTAAAGAGTTATAAGGGATAATGATTGGGGGAGCCAGCGAAACGACTGCACCCCCACCTCACAATTTTAAAATTTAAATTACACCATTCGTTTGTGCTACGTTTGTGCTGGTTTGTGCTCGAGTTTCATCGTTTGTGCTGCAAACCCTAATGAGCTAGAACGGATCTTTAGTGGGGGTGCCAGCGAAATGGCTGCCCCCCACCTCCAAATTTTCAAATTTAAATTATGCCATTCGTTTGTGCTACGTTTGTGCTGGATTGTGCTCGAGTTTCATCGTTTGTGCTGCAACCCCTAATTAACTACAGGGTATCATTAGTGGGAGGGGGTGGTATGGCGCCATAATGCAGCCCCGATTCAAAATATTGGATCTCCAAATGAGCCAATCTTTAGTAGTTTGCTACTGATATCCTGTACCACTTTTTCGACGTCAGTACTCTACTACTTCCGGAGTTATCCTTATAAATTTAATTAGGGGGTTGTAAAGACGTGCCGGCACCCCCCATATTGAATTGTTTGGTCCAAATCAGTCCCATTGGTCAAACTAAGTAAGTGCTTATTTGTACTCTTTGTCCCATCGTTATTATTATTTACTAGTAAAAAAAGTTAGGTATAAGCCTTTCTTGTAAGGTAATGATCTGGAATCCTAAAACGAGGACAGGTGGACTACAGCCCACAGAGTTTTATCGGAAATTGCTTGAGGTTGGTTGGTAAAAGTAATCAAAAGGTGTCCATAGGTGTCTTGTAGTTTTTAGGTTCAAATAACTTACTTGCATGAGTTTGATTATAAAATTTACGTGATCGTATAATTATTGTGAAAATCAAAATTCTCAAATATACGTTTTTATCTTGCAAAACTATTAGAAATAACTAAATGGCGTATATGGATCATTTTCCCTTTTACTGAAAAAATTCGTATCCCTAACTGTTAAATCAAAAACCAAAACGAAAACATTTTTAAAAAAGTTAACCAAGGAAATACGTAATACGCTTGATTAAACAACTCAAAAATCAAAATAGACCTTAAAATGTAGTAAAACACTTGGTTAAAGATTGGTTTAGATTAAGTTAGTGCTTATTTGTACTCTTTGTCCCATCGTTATTATTTCTTTGCTCATAAAAAAATTATAATAAATTATAAAAAAAATAAAATTCCGATAAAACTCTGTGGGCTGTAGTCCACCTGTCCTCGTTTTAGGATTCCAGATCATTACCTTGTAAGAAAGGCTTATACCTAACTTTTTTTACTAGTAAATAATAATAACGATGGGACAAAGAGTACAAATAAGCACTTACTTAGTTTGACCAATGGGACTGATTTGGACCAAACAATTCAATATGGGGGGTGCCGGCACGTCTTTACAACCCCCTAATTAAATTTATAAGGATAACTCCGGAAGTAGTAGAGTACTGACGTCGAAAAAGTGGTACAGGATATCAGTAGCAAACTACTAAAGATTGGCTCATTTGGAGATCCAATATTTTGAATCGGGGCTGCATTATGGCGCCATACCACCCCCTCCCACTAATGATACCCTGTAGTTAATTAGGGGTTGCAGCACAAACGATGAAACTCGAGCACAATCCAGCACAAACGTAGCACAAACGAATGGCATAATTTAAATTTGAAAATTTGGAGGTGGGGGGCAGCCATTTCGCTGGCACCCCCACTAAAGATCCGTTCTAGCTCATTAGGGTTTGCAGCACAAACGATGAAACTCGAGCACAAACCAACACAAACGTAGCACAAACGAATGGTGTAATTTAAATTTTAAAATTGTGAGGTGGGGGTGCAGTCGTTTCGCTGGCTCCCCCAATCATTATCCCTTATAACTCTTTAAGGGTTGCAGCACAAACGATGAAATTCGAGCACAATCCAGCACAAACGTAGCACAAACGATAGCCCTTGGTTTGAATCCGAAATTCTGAGGTGGGGGTGCAGTCGTTTCGCTGGCACCCCCAATCGTTATCCCTTATAACTCCTTAAGGGTTGCAGCACAAACGATGAAATTCGAGCACAATCCAGCACAAACGTAGCACAAACGAAAGCCCTTGGTTTGAATCCAAAATTCGGAAGTGGGGGTGCCAGGGAAATGCACCTCTTAATACTGTTACGCGTAGCGTACCGCAGGAGTTTCTTTGGGTGTTTTTTTTTCTAAATTACTTTATTCTTATCTAATGTTGGGGTTAGACTTATCTACTTCTAAAAATTTGAGTAAATATTTTACTCGTTTATGCATTATATTCGTAACAGAAAAGAAATCATCATAACAGTGTGTTGGTTTGTAGTTATATATACACTAAAAACCATATATTTTAGGTGTACACTATACAAACTAAATACTTACTGTCTAAGTTTAAGTTAAATGTACTGTTAAATATATCATAGTCGATAGAATTGTTTTATTATCTGAGATTGTAGTATAAAATTATATTATACAATATACATAATACATTTCGCAAACTTACAAAACATGTGAGTACATGTGACTGCAGGGATGGTGAACTTATGGCATGCGTGCCAATGTGGCACGTTGGATAAATTTCAACAGCACGCGCACATAGGTTTATTTCAATCTTGCATTTAATGAAGAAAACAAATTCTGAGCAAAATTCGCTATTATTCCCTAAAAATAAAATTACCTATTATAAAAGTTTGGAAATCACTGTATATTTACGTTAAAGTGTATTTTCCGCATCGATTTTTTTCAAATCAAAACAGAAAAATAATACATTGTTAGATGAAACAATAACGCTGCTTGCGTTTCATTAAAATAATAATTAACATAAAACACGAATGGTACTAAAATAATGATATTGATTTTTTTTAAAACCCAATCACCCTGAGGAAAAGGTATATATTACTGGCACGTGTATTTTTTTTTATTAAACTTTGATTATAATATTTTGGCATGTGACCCGAAAAATGTTCATCACCCCTGCGGGCACATACATTTATACGGTATATAGTGCATAGCAATTAAATTTTAGTCTAAAAGTCTATAGAACAAACGATTATGTATAATATATAATATATAAACTATATTATATAACACACACTTCTCAATTATTTTATGAACATTTTTGTTTTTTTTTATATTGTTTTTGTTTAATTTCCATTTTTATCACGAAATCAAACACCTAATCCTAGTTAGTAAATGTTATCTGCCGTATTTATACCAACAAAAAATGTGTCTGTAGAGGGTGAAAAAATGCGAATAGTCGAGTCACTTAAATTTAATTTCAGTTCGTCTCTTGGGTTTAAAATGTATCAATATAATAATCTGAAATACCCAGTATTTTGTTTTATTATATTATATGAGACACAAAATCCATTTGTAGTATTTGATTTAATTACACAACATCATAGCTGTTGCCTGTTGTTCAGTACAATGAATATGAAAAAAATCGATGATATATAATATATACATAAATATATTGTACCAGTTACCTATTTAAAGTAATACACCTATGATATAAAAAAAAAATGGAAAAACAATCAATTTCATATCACTCTGAGAATTTTTTTTTATTGTTTCATTTTTGTCACAAACAATAATTTATAATTTTCAAGACACATTTAAATCACATGGTAAAATTATAGATACATATTTACACGGAAGTTAGGCCCGTTTTTTCAGTATTACAAATCTCTCTTATTTTTACATACATTTTATAAGTACCACGTGGGACATGCCCCATACAAAATAATTTAATTATAATATAATCGTATCAATAGCGTTTATAAAATTTTAAAAAACTGTATAAAATGATCGTCATTGGAAATGAACGATATAAAAACATTTCAAATTGCATAAATAAATAAATTAGAAAAAACATCTCGAAAATATCGAAACGATCGTTACCTATACACAGTATATAGGAAACGTCAGAGGGTCATAATGTATAATTATTATTTTCAGTCACAAAACCGATTTACGACTATATTATCTGGTCAAAATCACACTAGAAATAAATCAATGTGAATCATACGAATAATTATAATATCGTGGCATCCGGTTTTTGTAATATTTCATCACATCTTGACGGATTGTCTGCCGGTCGTCGTCAAATCAGGCGTCCACTTGCCGGAGGGGTCGCTCACATCCGTCTCGGGTAGATGGCCACCTTGGACGGTAGTCCAGACATGCCGATCACGAACACGTACGTGGTCGGTGGTCTGAGTATGGTCTTAACCTGTCGCGGCTGACGTCCACTTCCACCGCCGTCCATCATGTCGATGACCGTCCGCAGGGTCTTCAGCCACTTTCCCCTGTGGCAGGCCCGAACCACATTGGTCGAATGCTTGGTGGCCGTATCGTCGGATCCCGTAGAGTCAGAGTCGGAGTCGAACGTTTTGCCGGACGAACTATCGTCTTCGTAAGCGTGGTACTGTCGCATGACGGTCGGCGCTACTTCGTGACACGGCATAATGACGATGATGATGATATTATATTATAATATTATAATGTTTTTACTATATGTGTCCGTTGATGACACGTTCGAGAGACGAATTTATTTTATATTTAAAATTAAAAGTCACTCACGATAGTCTATCGTTAAACGGAAACTTAAAAATCGTATAAGCAATAATAATTATTATGTTTTCAAAGTGTCGTCGCGTTGTGAGTTTGACGACGTTTGTGCAGCTGTCGGCGACGAGCGAACGCTCTTTATACGACGGACGACGGCGGCGCGGCGGCTGCGACGCGGTTGATGCGCGTGACGACAACCGCTAAGTGTGCGATAGTCATCTCGGCGCGCGTGCCGGTGTTCGCCACAAATAATAGGTAGGAACGATATGCACGCGGCTGAAAACGTTGTAACATCGCTGATATCGGTGCGCGTGCACGGGCCGCCCGGGACACACGACCACCATGATATACTGTATTGTTATTACGTATTATTGTTTAGCGTCATATCATTTACAACGTGCAATATATTTTTAATATTATCTTTTGTGATCGGGGGAGGGGGGTTATCAATGACGTCATTGGTAGGATTTAAATGAGGAGTCTTTACAGTCAGGACTTTAATGGTTGGGAGTTTATTTTATAAATTATAATATATTATAATAAGTAGACCTGAAGATGTCTATAGTCTTTTTTTATTTGTCTAGAAAGGTTAAAGAAATGTGAGTACTATAGTGTACTAGAAAGTTACACTTTAATTTTATTTAGAATATTTTATAGTTATTTCATATAAATACATATTTTAGTATATTGGACAAATTAAGAGCATAATATATAGATAACAATTATTTTTTAATAAATTAATTAGATAAAATATTCCCATATCCCGATGTAATTGAGATAACAAAAAACAATCCTATTTAAAATTGACTCCAGTTCCAGTGAGAAAATTGGTAGGTACAGCAGAACATAGACAACGTTTTAGCAAAAAGTCCTGGGTATTAAAAATGTAATTAAATTTCAAAAAAATGGATGGTTCACTCGAAGACCTAAAAATAAATGAATTAATATGTTTTTAATATGCAAGCTCCGCTTACCTCTGTTGACCAAGAACGAAATACATTTAAATCATTTTCGAGATCAAATTATACAAATATTAAAGGATTAAATCTATTTACTTTTTAACATAACATGTATATTGTATACGTAGGTTAGGTACATTAACTAATTTTAACTAAATATGTTGGTGGCCCCTTGCACGTGCACACCAAATATTATGTATATCACGGACCAACACACATCCGTATAAATCAAGAACTGCAAACGTATGGCACGTTGACTATATTTAAAATAATTGTAATTCAATGTTTAATTTGAAAAAAAAAATTGAGAAAGAACTTCTTTATTATTTTTAAAAAATTAAGTTACCAATAATAAAATTTTTGAACTCACATGCTTTCAGACATAATATTTTGTATTTATATGTAAGAGGTTATTTTCCACAATGAATTATTTAAAATCAAAACAAAGAAATAATACATTGCATATTAAGGCTTCTAGTATATTGTTTCAAAAGTAGATGAAAACTATTAAAAATCCTTAGTAACAGTTTTTTTTATAAGCATTCAAAGCTCAAAAATTGACAAAATATGGAAAAATCACGAAAATTAGCAAATTATTTTGAGTTAAGAATTCATAAAACTTTTTCTTTTTAAATCTAAGATTTTAAAATGTAATACAAGATTCCTTATAAGATTATCTACCTTTATCAAAAAAAAAATGTCAATAAGAAAGTCAAATTAAATTTTTATGAGCGTTTGAAATTCAAATTTTTACAACATAGGATATTCACTCGATTTCTCATGTAGCGATTTCTTTATTTTGTTGTAATTCAAAAACGAATAACGGTAGATATATGAAAATTTCACTGAATATTTATATTAGCATTTCCTATACACCATACAATTTTGAAAATATATTGACTCTTTTTGAGCTGTTTACGGACAATGACAGTTTTCAATTTGTTTAGTTTTTTTTTTCTATAAATATCAATAAAGTTTTATCTGTTGGGCCAAAAAGTGTAAAAATTTAATACAAGGCTTCTGATATATTGTTACAATTTTAGTTGAAAAATATTAAAAATTTATTGGCACAATTTTTTTTTATAAGCACTTAAAGATCGAATTTCGACAAAATTTATCAAATTTAAAATTGAATAATTATTTTTTAGTTAAAATTTTATAAAATGTTCAACTTTTATATCTAAGGATTAAAAATTTAAAACAAGATTTCACGTAAGTAGTTAGTTCTGTTACCAAAAAATCCAAAAAATACATAAGCACAGTTTATTTTTATAGTCATTTTAAGTTCAAATTTCTACGAAATTACATAATAAAAAACCTAGAGTAACTATTTTAGTTATTTTGTTGTGGCTGTATAATATTATTCGTGCTTACTTGAAACTTCTAACGTATACTACTATATATCTATGATAGTATCAGGGTTTGTTGTTGGTGTACCTAATGGATATTGTGATATGATTAATTTGGAATTCATTATAGGTCGATTTTTTTTAATACCATAGACAAGTATATAATATGTCTTATAAATAGAAGGACATACCGTCTCCGCTCAGAATCGTTTTTCTTATACAATGATATAATATCATTGAATTCAAATGTAATACCATCCATTATACAGTGACCCACTTGTAACCTACTGTACAGCAGAGCATCTTTTTAGTCTTTACATCACAAAAGTACAAAACAAAACCAAAATGTATACTGCTAGCTTCCAGCTTTTCTGGCTAGAATCAGTTAGTCAGTCAATCAGCTAGAACAAGTTATTTTATATAGGTACATGGTGAATTTTTAAATATACTCACCCCCATTTTTTCCTTTAATAATACATTTATTCAAATTCTGATGACTAGAAGTTTTAAGTATATTAATTAAAGACCATATTTAAATTCCTGATATATTTTTATACTACTTATGGAGTGTTTTGTTGTGATACAAACTTCTATTTTTCAATTAGCTTTTTACCAGGGCTTGTAACCGAAAAAATAAATTTCGATTTCGATTTTGATATTAGTTACCGGTTTGGCGGTTTCTTAGTTTTTCGATTTGGATTTCGATATTGAAAACCGGTTTTAATTTTTTTCTATTTTAATTTCAATTTTGAATACCGGTTTTAATTTTTTTCGGTTTTGATTTTGGTACTGATTAACGGTTTTCAATTTTTTCGATTTCGATTTCAATTTTTAAAACCGATTTTTGTTTATTTTTATTTTTGATTTTGAATATTGGTTTTAAATTTGTAAGTTATTCAATTTTACACGGGGCGCCGCCATTGGGTGACTTCCCCTCCCGCCAATCAAACCACATCAAATTTACTTATTGTATAACGTGTAAATACAGATTGTAAAATAAATAAATTTAAAAAAAGTTATTCAACTATTGATATTAATTTTGATTTTTTTTATGGTATTCAAACTTTTTTATTACTATTGACTAAAATTGGGTAAACAATAAAGATTCATAATCTACTTTGACTAAATATTACTATATTAATCATTAGTAACATGACTCATTACGAATAACTAATAAGTAAAGACAACAAGCCAATAATGAGAAAATCAGTTAAATCGATGAAAATAAGTTTTTCTCATATAACTACCTATACAAGATTAAAAAATAACTACTTCTTAGGACTGATAAAATCACTGACTTTTTATTTTACTTCATTTTATGAACATAATTTATACACTCACAAAGCACAAATTCGCAATATTATTATAATATCAATATGGCATTACGGCAGTACTGCATACCTAGTAAAAATTATTATTCATCGAATTTATTCTGGATTTATTTTGGAATTTTAGATTAGGAAATGCTGTGCTTATAGTGTTATTAGTTTTTACTGCAAATTATTTAGTGAGTGATTGTCTTAAAAATGTTGATGCATCTAAATCAAAATTCTAATAAGTTGTTTCTGAGTTATTAAATGTTTATACTAAGGATCCTTAAAAATAGTTTTTCAAAATTATAAAAAATATGTAGTAGTAGATGTTTTCTTCATTATACTTCGATAATTTTTACAAATTATTTATAGTGATAGAGCAATAGTAATTACTAATATTTTCAAACCATCTGAGCTTAAATATCTATTTAACCTATTACCATAGAAATATTATACTTAGTACCTAGTACCTATACACTATAACTTATAAGTTGTATAACTCAAAGAATACTCGTTCAAATTTTGATTTATATATCTTAAAATTCTCAAATTAAATATCTGCTGAATAATTAAAAGTGAAAATGGGAGGGGGAGCCTATTTGAAAAATAGAAGTTTGCATTTTTACAGGATAATTCTTAAGTGGTACAAAAAATCTCAAGTTTTCAAAACTCTGATCTTTAGGCGTATCTAAACATTTTAAAAATTCAGAATTTGAATATATTATGTATAATTAAAGCACAAAACTAGGGTGAGTAGGCTTAAAAAAATCACTCTGTATATAAATACGGTTTTATTGTTTTAGACGAATTGGAATTTTTATTGCTGGATAAACTAATGGATATGTTAACAAATTACATGATGAATTGTACAAATATGTGAACGGATGGCAGTTACATTGATTGCGCCTGGAAGTAAATTTGTTTATCTAATAAGTAATAATAGTAACTAAACAAAAATTCAATCGGACTGAGGTTAATGATAGAAGGAAAATTAATAGTTTTACTAATTTGGGGTAGTATTACCAACTTACCTATAGCATATGAATTAGTTATAGTGTATCATTCAACTGAAATGCATTCTCAATAAAAATTAAATTTATACTTGGTAACGTCGCTGGCTATGCACTTGATGTGTTGAATGTGCGAAGTGATTATGCACGTGTTCAGTTGTTGTACGGTTATGTATATTTTTAGACATACAACCGTATAAATCAAAACAATTAATACAATAATAAAATCGTAGGTATATTAATACATTCACGACCACGCTATTCA